GGGAAATTTCTCCCATCCTAAATTTTTTTTTCTCAGGGAAATTTTTTCCGTTTTGGTGAAAAAAGTGGGGCCCCCGGGTGGTTTTTTTTTTGTTCAAGGGCACAGGCGTTATGGCCCCCCTTCCCCCAAACCCCAAAATTCCCGGGGTTCCGTTGCTTGGGGGAGCCCCTTCCCGGGAAACCCCCCCTTTTCCAAAGGGAAAAGTTAAATTGGGGCGGCGGGTTTTTTTAAAAAAGGAAAAATTTGGGCCCAAAAAACATTTTCTTTCCCCGGGATCATCCCAGTTTTTTTAAAAGTTGGGTGGGGCGGGTAAAACCACAAAATAGGGTTTGGACCGGGATTGTTGGGGGGGTTTTTATATTTTTTCCGAATTAGGGCAGGGTTTAACAGGAGTCCCCTTCCCCCCCCCCCCCCACGACTCGCACCCCCTCCTGCACACGGGTCTCATCGCCCACATCGTCAGGGTTGCGCCGCAAGCGCTCTATTCCTTTCCCTCGCCACATCGGCGAGGACCGACTCTAGGACCTGAAGATCAATCAGCCTACATACCAAACACAGCTGCAGAGAACCGACTCGCGTTTCGATAAACACACCGCGACCCCCGCTCACACAACCCCTAATCCTTTTGACGGGCGAGTGCATGTGTGAAACGATACACCCTGCCGTCTTTCCACCACGGTTGGAGGCAACCAAAAGACCTGAGAGAACATAAATGAACCCGCACCGAAAAAAAAACAACGAACAAAAGCACCTCCACTGCCGTGACGGCATAACAGCGAGACAATCACGCGGAGATGCGGTTCGATTCTGGGAAGCACGTCCTTTCAAAGATTCTACCAACAAGGCAGTATTGCGTCACAACCCGTAGCGCCCGACCGCCGCATGCGATTACGCGGGGGTCAGCACCCTCTCCTCGTCACGGGTCTGGCAAAAGCATAGAGGAACGAGGAGGGCGGGGGGGGGGGTGGGTGGGATGCGTCAAAAGAAAAACAATGTAGAAGATAATGGTTCGGTTTTCGAAAGGATCGGGCGGCTGGTGGGGAAAGGGTAGACAGGCATGGATGGGGCTATCGCGCAAGGGTGCAAATGCGACAGCAAAACAACGCATCGCCACGACCTTCACCCCACGGCGGCTCCTATAAGCTTGTCGGGAAATTACGTCCATACCTCTCTTTCCACAAACCGAACCAAAATCGACACCCTCCAGGAAACCGGTTGCGAAAAAAAAAAAAAAAAGTCCGTCGTCGCGGTAACGATCAGGTAGCGATTGATACAAAACGTGGAATGCTTTGTCGGGTGTTGGAGAGATGGAAAATTTCCCACGGTTTGTAAGACCAAATAGCTCCTCCCGCGACCCATCCAAAAACGCAGCAATCCTCTACATCAAAATCACCAACTCAATATCCTACGGTGGCCCTGCGTTGTGACGAGGTCCGGGGGGGGGGGGGGGGGGGGGGGCA